TCAAAGGAAATGTACCAGATGTTTCCCAATAGCTCTACACATGGAGGTACCTAGGCTCAGCAGGGATCCCACTGTAAAAAGAAACCAGAGACTCCAACTCTGGTTTCAACCACAACATAAAGAATGACCTATAAATTCCTATTCTCTCCCAAGAATACCATTTCTATTACTATTTCTCAATACTCTAGAACAAATATACCTATAATCCCCCGGAATTTAGTTTCTCTTTATATGTATGCATAAATTCATAGAGATTTAAAGTTTAATGTAGCAAAAGTTTGCATCTTGAAATAAATATCTTTCTTAATGAATTAATTTCAACACAGAAAGTTACCAAAAAATACATCACTAAAAGTTTCTAAATGTAGTTCTTCCTCAAAATAAGATATTTACTTCCTAATCATCATTGGTTACATTTTTCATCAAATTATTATCATATAAATAGTTACACTATTAAAAAACAACATCCCCTTCACAAAGTTGAAACACTGCTGTAGAGGGAGAATTCCAAGGATGACCTTGGTTAGTGTTTAAATTTGTTTTTGAGGAAGAATTGCTTTTTTTCCTCCTCTATTTTTGTCCTCTACAAGGAAGTTTATGGGATAACTAGATAAACATCAGAATAATCATGACCATTTTATACTATACATTCCTCAAAAACTGTTGTACACTCTTATTTGTATATAATTAAGGAAATCTTTGAAAAAAAACCAAATACAGCTTTATTTTTAGCCACTGCTTCTAAGTGAAATTATCTTGAATATATGACAATATTCTCGGATTTTAAATAGAAGTTCTGCCTTTCTAAAATCCTTAAAATTCAGGAATCCAGGTTAAGGACACTTTTGCAAGTTTTCTACAAGACTAAAATTATATCAAAATAAAAAGTTAAGAAAAAGTTGCCATCTTCATCCACATGAAGGTGATTCCACAATTCTCTGAATTCTCTGGATTTTTTGTAAATACATTAGTGATTACTTTAAAGGCAATTTCAACCATTTATTTTAGCAAAACTGAGAATTCATAAAATCTTGATGGCTCTCTTGCCTGCTCCAAAGAAATAACTTGAAATTCAATGTTACAAGTATTCAATGTCACAAGCACTCTCTATGAAGAGTAACAACAAAAGTAGACTTTGGAGGGTTCCTTTGAATTAATTCCTAAGAAAATTTCAAAAGGCAAAAATAATGTGAGGATAAAAATTAATTATGAGAATTAACCAAATCTATCCATCCTTGAGCACTATCAGAATCAAGGAATATGATGATAGAGATTGTAAGAAATAAATTAGAATTCTTAAAGAAACACAGGGAAGAACAGCCCAAAGGCTCAAAGGAAATATAACAGTCTTTAAATGATCCAACGGATTTCCAAGCAAATACAAATAGCAAAAACAGAAGAACAAAGAAGTATTAACTGTTCTTATTTACTGGCACAATGTATCCTCAACTTATTTGAGACTGCATCAGGATGAGATGCACAAAGTATAATCTGAATATTAAAAATCAAGATATTGGTGCTGGGGATATAGCTTAGTTGGTAGAGTGCTTGCCTTGCATGTACAAGGTCCTGGGATCGAACCCAGGACCACAAAAAAAAAATCAAGTTATTAACTTATCCACATTAAATATTGATTTTTTTAATTCTTATTTTTTAGTTGTAGTTGGACACAATACCTTTGTTTTATTTATTCATTTTTATGAGGATAGAACCCAGGGTCTTGCAAGCGCTAGGCAAGCACTATACCGCTGAGCCACAAATCCAACCCTGAATATTCATTTTTAAAAAAGAATTTAAACCTGGAGAGGACTATTGTCAATCTAGCCCAACCTAAAATCAATTAGGTACCCATAACTCCCTCTAAAAGCCATGCATTCACATGACTGGAGATGATTTCACTTGTTATATCCCATATAGTTTGAACCATTGATCAAATGAGGTAAGAATGAGTGATCCTTTGAATCCTTCCTAATTCTGAAATGGGAGACATAAAACTAAGATATTTGAGTTTTAAATGGCCAACTTTTTTTGAAAAACCAGGCTCTCAACCCTGTTTTATTTTCCCATTTCCCTGATACGGATGCAAATACCAAAAATGTTTTACTTTTCCCCTTTACATACATTAACACTGTAATTAACAGGATAGCAGTCATAATGCAACTAATAAGTACATCTGGGGCTTCCTTTGGGTGGATTCATATTCTAAGCAGCTTAAATAAACTGCCAAAAGCCACAGGGTAGTAATTGGTATAGTTGATGGTCAAAATCTGGCAATCTGATCCTAAGCCAAAGTAAATGACAAGTACAATTTACTGGCTGACTTCATTGAAATATAATAGGTAGCCCCAGGAGAAACTAAAAAAGACACTCCACCTTCAGTGATGAAGAGCAATCTGGACAGTGTAACAAACAGGAGCTCCAACAGCCCATATAGTGGAACAGCTGTTACTATTACTCAGCCTCAGACAGGCTGGAGTTCCTAAATCCTTTGATGAGTTTTTCATTGGAAGTTGGAAATACAGATTTATAACTGAAGCCTATTGATTTATAAATGTTGCCACTTATTTCAACTTTTTTCCTAAAAATCCCACTGGTCTGCCCACATTTGGGGGGAGGGCAGGAATTATATCTCATTTTTCTTGGTATCTCCAATGTCTAATATGTTGCTGGCACACAGTACATGCAAATAGGTTGAATTCAGCTATTAAAACTCCCACCATTTTCTCTTGGCCATTTTTTTAATCTTAGTTGGAATTCATTAATTTATTCAAGAAATATTTATTGAGTACTATAATGTATAGAAACTGCTCTAGACATTTGGAACACAACAATGGGGGGGAACAGACAAAATCAGAGAGAGAGAGACAATATATTGTATTTTAGTGAAAGAAACAGGCAAAAAGTATGGAAAAAAAAAGAAAAAGAAAAAAAATCACATAAACTGAGGTGTTGTGAAGGCCTGGAAAAGGTTTACTTTGATTTGAACTTATGCTACAGAGAGCTAAAGAATGATGATACTTAGAAAGTCAGATACAATAGTATGCTTTTAGGGACATACTGGTTATTACTCCACAAATAGGTTACAAATATGTAAGCAATTTAAAGGAAAGAGTGTTCTTGAAAGAGAGAGTGCTTTCTTCAGAAGTAGAACAATACCATCTTGCTTCTTGGCTTGAAAGGAAGTATTGATCAGTAGTTAGTGAGTCAAAGGTTAATAACTTGGGGCTGATTATTTCTGTTATCAGACTCATGATTAATGATGAGATGTCCTCTGGCTCCTTGTAAATACAGGAACCTCTTTTTTAGTGCTTTTACTAGGGACCAAGGAATTATGTTATCCTCTTTTGATTCCACTGTAGGGGGAAGGATCCTGTAGAAAGTACAGGGCAATCATCAAAACTGCAAACTTAGAACAACATAAATCTAATTGGCAACCTATGGTAAAACACTAGCTATGACATGCAACTCTCTTGCTCTCATGTATTATCATTCCAAAACACTACATGCTGAGCTAATAAAACTTCTCCCTCCAATTTGCTTTGGAAACGGATGTAGTTTCAGATATCTGGCTGGTGCTGCTAGACAGCTGCTGGCACTTACAAATAGGACAGTTACACCATAGCCATTTAAAAATGCACAGACTTGACCCATGCCTCTCACCAAATCACTTATATCTATTTCATAACTTGTAATCTAAGTAAAAATAGTCCATGTTGACGCTTCTGAAAATAAAATATGCTAAAACAATTGCATCTTTGTATCTTCAAGTAGGCTTTAAAATAATGCACTATTCCTAAAGCTGGAAAGAATACATTAATTTCTCATTGTCTTTATATAAAAATGAGATTTTACTCAACCTGCTCTTTTTGAAAGAAACAATACTTTCTTTGTTAGCCAAGCCAAACACAGATCTCATGCCAATGTAGTTAGTTCCTCTCATGGATATCAGCCAAAAATATATTTTGAGAAATAAAGTTGCAAATCAATGAAATTAGGAAACAGAAGTAATTATTATCAGGTAACTAAAGATAAAAATGTGGAAAAAAATCAATGAAAATCAATGTGATGAAATAAAAGCACACCACTCAAATTGTGTCCGTGAAAGAAAAACATTCATCAACTCATCTACAGCAGATAGTCATATTTAGACTAAATCTTCCCTAAATGTGTAGCTATCAAACCATATGATTCACTCAAATACTTTAGTCTATCCATCTAAACATTTTTGGTTTAATCAATGGAAGTCTAATTGGCCTTGATCTTGTATCAAATAGATGAACACTGATAAAGCAATTTAACACAGATCCTTGATTTATTAAATCTAAAATGCACATCGTGAGATGGTTGCAGATCTCTTTTGACCCAAAGAAACAAGTAATAATTGCATTTACAGTATAAAGTGGACATCAGCAATAATCAACTGCTGACACCAATATATTTATATAATTGTATAAATATATTTATTTATAATCTATGTTAAAGGTTTTTAACATCTAGAAATGAAAATTTTTTTAAAAGTCTACTGAAATTTACTTTTTAAAGTGTCTCTCAACCTACTCTTTAATTTAGTTGGTGTGCAGTTACTAAAGAAGCTTTCAATAGTTATTCTGAGGATTTAGGATAATGTCATTCAGTATGGGTTTTTTTTTCTTTTTTGTGTGTTTAGTTTTAAATTATATTTTTAAAATCTTCCATACTTTATAGGTAACTTTGGCAGAAATGATATATATGTCTTACTTATCATAAAATTGCATCAAGCCTATATATAACTCCACTGCTAACCCCTGCTGGACAAGCTTAAGCCCTGGGTGGGGAGATTCTTGCATTTCGCACTTCCAGTCAGGACAATACAAAGAACAGTCTCACTCATCTAGTCCACCAAAACTTAAAACAACAATCAAGCCACGAGTGGTGTGTCCCAGCAAATAAGTGCTGCAGAATACAACCTCTGTACCAGTCCAGCCGGAGTGGGCAGCCCTCCAGTGTGTAGTTCCCCTTACCTGCTGAGCGGGTGACTGGCGGCGGACCGGGACGCGCAGCGCTGTTCGCCGCTGGGCTGCTGGGAGCGCGCGTAGGAGTGATAGGCGGTCAGCACCACGCCGCCGGAGTCCTCCACCTCCATCGTCAGCCGCGCATGTCTCGGCGATGGCCCCAGAACAAAGACCGGGACTAGCATGGACCAGCGCGCCGGGAGCCTGTCACCAGCCCTGCCGCGCGTCCTTGCGCCCAGAGGCTCTCTCCGCGCTGTCAGGCCGCCGGGGCACTATGGCCCCTCCCGCGGGGCACGCAAATTAGCATACTCTGGGAACCACGCCCACTGGCGCGGGGCGGGCAAATTCGCATACATTGAAAGCCACACCCACCGGGCACCGGGCAGACTATTTAACACACACTGGGAACCACGCCCACGGGCGCAGGCGGTCTGGGGGAGGGGGATCCCTGCTTCTAGGAAACTGGAAACCTGCCTGATACTTCGGGGCTCTTGCCAGCTGCTCTAGTAAAGTTTGTGTTTTTCTTTCTTTGTTTCTTTTTTTCCTTGTCTCCCCCTCCCCCTTTCCCCTTCAAAGGAGAAGCTTATCCTGTGGCTAGGAACATTTCCTGCCTGGCAGCCAGAAGTAAGAGAAATCATGCTTTAGGCGGAGAAGGAGAGGCCAGGTCTAAAATGTGTGCTCCTGGAAGAAAGGGAGAAAATGTGACACGCTGTCATTTAAAGCATGCACATCAAAAATTGAAGAACCGGGTTACATTACTGTTTACTTAGTCGAGTTACAATAAACTTGATTTCCTATCGGGTCAGGTAATTCTCTCTACAGCAAAGGAACACTTCCCTCCCATGCCCTCAGTGCCACAACAGACCCTTACCTCACCTTTTTCTCCATCCAATCTTGATCTTATTCACAGATTCTGTTTCCAACTTGCCTGAAAGTTAGACCTGACTATTAGGGGAGACTGGATGTTATTTCCAAGGGTGTTTTTTTTTTTTTTTTTTTTTTTTGAGAGGGGAGAGGGTAGGAGCTAGTATAAACATATATATAGCACAAACAGAAACACGAAATTATTAAAACAAAAAGATAATTGGAAGTTTGCTAGAAAGAGACCACGTGACTTGGTGTTTCACACACAGAATGCATGTTTTATCCATTGTCTCCCGTACACCTCTCAGGTAAGGTAAAGTGGAAAGAGAAGTTAATTTGCTCTTTAATGGAGGGTGGCCTGGATCATGCCACTTAACAATCTCAGAATCTGTTCCTTCATCTGTAAAACAGGGAAGTACCATTCATTTCATGGGGTCAGAAGCACCAGGTACATGTTAAGTTTCCATTGAAATGTTCCTTCTCTCCACTACTTCTTAAATTTGTCAAGAAAGAAGACATTTATTTAGGCTGCACTTTCAGAAGCTGGGAAATGTTAGTTCCATCCAAAATGCTTTTTTAAACCCATTTTGTTGATTTAAAAGATGGGATAATAATGACAAACATTTACTAAAATATTTATAATATGGAAAATCCAATACATTAGTCCTTTACACATAATGAGGTGGGTAGTAGTATTATCGCAAATGTATAAATACAGGCATTAATCAAGCATCAGTGCATGGAAAGGGCATAAAAAATGCTTCATTCTCTAAAATTTTCAGGTAAAAAGAAGACATCTGTTTGCCTACTGTCCTTTCAAAGATAGAAAAAATTTTACAATGTTTCTTAAAACATATAATAGAGGGTTGGGGGTTGTGGCTCAATGGTAGAGCGCTTGCCTAGCATGTGTGAGGCGCTGAGTTCCATCCTCAGCACCACATGATAATAAATAATAAAATAAAGATACTGTGTCCAACTACAACTTTAATTTAAAAAAAAAAAAAAACACCACATATAATGGAGAAATAGTATTAAGTCCACAATCCTTCATCCTTCACCTAAAACCTTGGGGTCAGATGTATTTCAAAATTAAGCCCCACCCCCCTTTCAAAATGCTGTTTGAGTGATTTTCCTGGAATACAGGCCATTCTCTTTTCAAAAGCCCTCATTTCTAACCCACTTGCTGCAAATAAAGTCCAAACATCTTAGTGTGACCTCTCATTAATCTGTATCCATCTCCTAATACTACATCCCCCTTCTAGTCCCTGCACCAGCCTGTCATGTGCTCTTGCTTTGCCTTTCTCCCTCCCTACCATGTTCCTGCCTGGAAATACTTACAGCCTCTATCACCCTAAAGCCTCTCAGGTATTCCTAATTCAAAGTAACCCCTCCTCTGGAAATTGCTCTTATTTTTGTTACAGGAATAATTTCATTCTTTGCTCACATGTCTACGTGAGACACTGCTAATAGGCCATAGTAGTTTTTTTTTTTTTTTTTTTTTTTCCTACTGAGCCCAGATAGAGCCAAGAAATCATTCTCAAAACAGAACCCCAAGCAGCAAGAAAGCTTCAAGATGAAAACTCTTTGCTAACCCAAGACCATGTTATAATTTTCCAACAAATCAGTGTTTGGTTTTTGTTTTGTTTTGGATTTGGTTTTTACTAAATCTGTAAGCTACTAGAAGGGCTGGTGTCTTTATATTGTATATTTATATTTTTGTCTTTATGTCCCAGAGCTCATAGTGTTTTGCAGGATAGGTACTCTGCAAAAGGAATATTTGTTGAATGAATGAATGTATAAATCAATGAGTGAACTGATGAACATGAGATGACACTTTTCTGTGCAGTAGTTCCAATCTTTAAGGGTCACCAAAGAATGCTGATGATTGGCTCTTAAGTCTATAGATTTAATAGCATCAAGACTGCCAAACAAAACACACACCAAAAAATGTTGCATAGATATTTGTCAATATTTTTCAAAGGTATGTATATGCTGTATGTTGACAATAAAATAAAACTTTTGTGAGCATTCTTGGGTTTTCTGATTTCAGAAAGATAATGGAATGCACATATTGGAGATGATGGAATATAATGTATGAAATATTTCCATTTGCCATCCAGGTCCACTTGCCACCCCCAGTACCCTCCTAGGTGCCCCATCTAGGGACTCCTTGCCTCTAGTTTCAGGTAATCTACAGCCAAAGATAGAACCAGCAGACAGCTGGAGGGAGGGGGAAAGCAGGCTTTTTTTTTCCCTAGGACTTCCTTCACTGTTATGTGCTGTTGCTTGGATCCTTTTACAGGAAGCCATAGTTCCTGACTGGAGCCCTCTCCTCTCCTGCTGTCTCTGGATTCTCATAAGTACCATCTCAACCAGGCCCTTCTGATCTAGGAGTGGTAATGGCTCCTGATACAGCAAATAACTATTGTACACCATACCTCTTTGCTTCCTTCACTCCCACCACACATTTATTCAGAGTTCCTTTACTAAATTCTCCTCATTCACCTTGGCTGAAAGCTCCATTTCCTTCTTCAAGATCCTTACTGATATATATTCCTCTGCCCTGAGATTCAGGGCAGTATCTAAGAAGTGAAATCATTAAGATGGCTGCAGTAAACTGCAAGATTCCACACACCAGGGACAAGGGCAAACTGCAAATAGCCGAATGTCAGTTCAGGTGTTTTGTCACTGAACAGATTCAAGTCTGAGCAGGTTTTGCAATCAAGTGAGTCATGGAAAATGCTTTCAGATTTGAGAGTCTTTGGATTTCAGAATTACACATATGGCAATGTGTACCTGTTAGAATCTTTTGACATTTTGTTGTACTAAACACTGTTGGGAACCACTGGCTAGGGATGACAGCACATGGCAGTGACAGGCAGCCAAGCAGTGGAGCAAGTTGGGAAGGGAACCCCAGGGAAGATAAACTTTACGTACAGTAAACAGTGGAAATTTAGGGCACAGAAATAGCACTTTCAGTTTATTTGAAATAGGGAAAAATTCTAGCCTACTATGCTGTTCTTCTCTGGATACCCCTGCAGTGACCAGCACTGAACTGAGAATTGAGACCTGGGTTGTCAGGAACAACCCCACCACTGGCAGAGTAGGGTTCCCTAAGCAAGTTGCTGAGCTGCTGCCCTGTTTCTTAGCATGTCAAAGAAATACACCAGTCAGCATTTATGGAATACTTAGCACGTGCTGATTCTGTTCTTGATGTCAGAACATCCACTCAGGAAATGCTCACAGCAACCTTCCAAGATGAGATAAATATCACCGTTCACCACTCCATTTTACAGTAAAGACAGTTGGGTTGCAGTAACTTGCCCAAGAACAGCCAGGCCAGGATGTGGCAAACCTGGGATTCAAAGGCAGGCAGTCTGGCTCTTGAATCTAGTCTCTTAAGTATTATATTTCTCTTTCCTGAAAGACTTGCTCAGACTCAAAATATAGTCCTTTTAATATAATGTAATGAAAAGAGTAAGGTTTGATTAATGTTTCTAATAGCTTTTCATAAATCTGCTTAGTATACTGGAGGATAAATATCATAGCATACAATAACGATAATGAAAATAATGATAAATGAAGTGGAATTACATGTATTTTTAATGTACAACACTTTTTATATGTGTGTGGGTGTATGTGGCTAATTACTTTCATTAGCTGCTCTTAGAATGAGTTGAAGTCTAATTTTACTTTCATTCTGCCTTGTAAAATTACTACTGGATATACATAAATAAGGCTTTAGAGAGTAGTAGAATATGTGAACCACAGGTGCACAAAGACTGCACTTTTCTAAATGAACAGAGCAGGCAGAGTGGAAGACAAAAGAAGGTCAGACAGTGGAGTCTGAGTCTGAATTATGAATTTACTTCTTACTGGCAATGTCACTTTAATTTCTGCTTCAATTTTTCAAATGAGGACTAATAATATCCCCTCCAAGAGTTGATGGGAAGATAAAGTAAGATCACATCTTTAAAACATGATCATAGTGCTAAGCATATCACACATACTCAATAGATATTGGTTCCCTTTGCTCTTTTTCACTATTCTCTTGTCACCAGGCCTCCATTTGGGCCCTTCTGGAAGCGTTGTTTTGAGTTCCATCCTCAAGAATAAACAACCTGGACCTAGAGATTCCACAGGGATTTTACAACCTTTACTGGGAGATGAGTCAGACTCAATTAACACAATGAAACCTACTTGGGGAAGCCTCACTGGCCCCCAATACCTGCCAGTTCTAAGGACTACAAGGAATAGAGATTCCAAA